AGCCTGGGCTGCTGGGAGGTGTCCCTGCCCATGCAGGGGGGTGGGACTGGATGAATATTAAGGTCCCTTCCCACCCAAACCATCCTATGATCCTATGAATTCCTGCCCTTCCCCAGGCTCTGCTTTGCATCCATCAGCTTGACATGCCCCAGCCAGGGCTGGGCAGGTGTCCCTTGGCAGGGGGGCTGGCAGAGCCCCTGCTGGGACCTCTCACCCTCTGCTCTGCCCCCTCCCAGATCTTCAACTGCATCCGCATGCGCTTCTCAGAGATCCCCATGAAGCTGGCAGGGCTCCTGCAGCACCCAGACCCCATCATCATCAACCACACCATCAGGTAGGGATGGAGGGGGGTGGGGGGCACTGCTCCTGGGGGGAGGGGGCTCCTCCCCAGCAGGAGGTACCTGCAGGGTCTACAAGGTCTTCATCTCAAAGCACAAGTCACTCGAGAGGGGAAGAATCAGCCCAAGACACTTGGGGGCTCCTTGGGGCAGTCGTGGTGCTGTCAGGGGGGGGTCCCAGCACCCCCTCACCCCCCTTTTTTCCCCTTTCTGACCCCCCTTTCCTCCCAGTGTGGACCCCAACGACCAGAAGAAGACAGCCTGCTATGACATTGACGTGGAGGTGGATGATCCCCTGAAGGCTCAGATGAGCAACTTCTTGGCTTCCACCACCAACCAGCAGGAAACTGCTTCCCTGGATGCCAAGGTTTGGGGGGGAGACACACCTGGGATTCCTGGGATGCACCCCCAGTTTGGGGGCAGCTGTGGCCTGTCCCCAGGGCTGGGGGGGAGGGGGGTGACACTGCAGCCTCTCCCCCCCCCCGACCTTTGTCATCTCTTTAGATCCATGAGACCATCGAGTCCATCAACCAGCTGAAGACTCAGCGCGACTTCATGTTGAGCTTCAGCAACAACCCCCAGGATTTCATCCAGGAATGGATCAAATCCCAGAGGAGGGACCTGAAGGTGAAACCACCCCCCCCAACGCCCCCCCCGGGGGGAGGGGATGGACAAGGAGGGTCCATCCCTGCTGCTTCACCCCTCCGTGTTCCCACCCCTGTGTCCTCAGATCATCACGGATGTGATCGGGAACCCCGAGGAGGAGCGAAGGGCCGAGTTTTACCAGCAGCCCTGGGCACAGGAGGCTGTGGGGAGACACATCTTTGCCAAGGTGGGGGGCTGGGGGGGACACCCCCAGGTGTGGGGCAGCCCCTTTTCCCCTTCCTGACTCCCCTATTCCTGACCCCCTTTTCCTGACCTCCCTTTCCCCTTCCTGACTCCCCTTTTCCCGTTCCTGATCCCCTTTCTACTTCCTGTCTCCCC